ATATACATTTTCTTCTATCCTCCATGGACAGGGTGAAAGATTTGTCAAACATACAGTTAAGAGATTTATTGAACAACCACAGAAGATGATCGTAGTGCTTTTAAAATGTTAGGCTAAGCTACATACGTAAATACATAGATACACAGATTTATGAATGCATTAATGTGAATTTATAATGGTGAAATTTAATTCTGATCAGCTTTATACTTTATACACATACGTACACACATACATACATACATACATACATACATACATACATACATACATACATACATACATACATACATACATACATACATACATACATACATACATACATATATATATACACATACATACACATATATTTGTCTCTTTTACTCTGACAGGGTGAGATAGCTGACAAGAGAAACTAGTGTGCAATTAAGAACTTAACCACTGAAGATGATTAAGATGCTTTTACAAGCTCATGTTATAAAGTTACATTACATGGTTAATCTAGGGTACAAGTCCTATATATCATCAAGGGTTCCAGTACTCACATAGTAGTTACAGAGTTCAGCATACCTCAGCCCAGGAGGACGAAAGTCAGACAATATGGGACATTCTACAATATAATGTTCAAGAGAGTGCATGTTTTCTCTTTCACAAAGTTGACACATTGTGTACTCGACATTTGGGTTTTGAGAAAGCTGCCAGATACGTCTATATCCCAGGCGTATTCTGGCAACTATGACAACACATTGCCGGGTTCTTGCTCTATTAGTCCCATATGTGAATGTCTCCTCACGATATCAATCATAATATTTAATGCTACAACTTTCAGGTCTTTGTGAATTTGTTAGGTCGGTGAGATCTTCATTAGATATTTGTTTAAGTATTCTCTTTGTCACTGCTAGTGAAACACCCATATCAATTTCTACTACTGGTTTTCTGCAAGCTGTCTTTGCAAGCATATCAACAGTGTCATGCCTTGAGATGCCAACATGTGATGGTATCCATAGGAATTTAATTACAAATCTGTTTTCTTTAGCAGCTAAAGCATTCATTCGAATATCACTGTAGGGGATGAGACCTCAGATTGGCAAGGACCAAAGAACTGAAGCTCAAACCACGCAAGCACAACTAGGTGAGTACAGTGTTGTACACCCACTCTCTCAATCACAGCGTCCCAAAACTGTAGTACATCCAGACTCCCCAACACAGTGTAGTACACCCAGACTCCCAAAACTGTAGTACACCCAGACTCCCAATACGGTGTAGTACACCCAGACTCCCAACACTGTAGTACACCCAGACTCCCAACACTGTAGTACACCCAGACTCCCAACACGGTGTAGTACACCCAGACTTCCAACACAGTGTTGCAAGCATACACCCAGACTCCCAACACTGTAGTACACCCAGACTCCCAACACAGTGTTGTACACCCACTCTCCCAATCACAGCGTAGTACACCCAGACTCCCAACACTGTAGTACACCCAGACTCCCAACACGGTGTAGTACACCCAGACTTCCAACACTGTAGTACACCCAGACTCCCAACACAGTGTTGCAAGCATACACCCAGACTCCCAACAGAGTGTAGTACACCCAGACTCCCAACAGAGTGTTGCAAGCATACACCCAGACTCCCCAACAGAGTGTAGTACACCCAGACTCCCAACAGAGTTAGTACACACAGACTCCCAACAGAGTATATACACCCAGACTCCCAACAGAGTATAGTACACACAGACTCCCAACAGAGTATAGTACACCCAGACTAGTACACCCAGACTCCCCAACAGAGTATAGTACACCCAGACTCCCAACAGAGTGTAGTACACCCAGACTCCCAACAGAGTATAGACAGAGTGTAGTACACCCAGACCCAACAGAGTGTAGTACACCCAGACTCCCCAACAGAGTATAGTACACCCAGACTCCCAACAGAGTGTAGTACACCCAGACTCCCAACAGAGTGTAGTACACCCAGACTCCCCAACAGAGTGTAGTACACCCAGACTCCCCAACAGAGTATAGTACACTCAGACTCCCAACACAGTGTAGTACACCCAGACTCCCCAACAGAGTATAGTACACCCAGACTCCCAACAGAGTGTAGTACACCCAGACTCCCAACAGAGTGTAGTACACCCAGACTCCCAACAGAGTGTAGTACACCCAGACTCCCAACAGAGTGTAGTACACCCAGACTCCCAACAGAGTGTAGTACACCCAGACTCCCAACAGAGTGTAGTACACCCAGACTCCCAACAGAGTGTAGTACACCCAGACTCCCAACAAAGTGTAGTACACCCAGTCTGCTAAACACATCATTGAACACCCAGTATACCCAGACTCCCAACACAGTGTAGTACACCGAGTCTCTCCCACACAGTGTAGTACACCCAGACTTGCTAACACAGTCTAGTACATCCAGACTCCCCAACGAAGTGTAGTACACCCAGTCTCCCAACAACACAGTGTAGTACACCCAGACTCCCGAACACAGTGCAGTATACCCAGACTCCCAACACTATGTAGAACACCCAGACTCCCAGCACAGTGTAGTACACCCAGACTCCCAGCACAGTGTAGTACACCCAGACTCCCAACACAGTGTAGTACACCCAGACTCCCCAACACAAAGTAGTACACCCAGTCTCCTCAACACAGTGTAGTACACCCAGTCTCTCCAACACAGAAATACCATAGGAGACAGAGCTCAGAGAATTGTCTGTACAAGGAATGATGGACTACATCACCCAGAAGTGTCAGGAGACAAAAGACAGGTTATCGCGGCCCAGAAGGAAAAATCGAAAGCAAAAGAGGGATCAGTGGTTCAATCTGGCATATAAGGATGCTAGGCAGTTAAGTACAGGGGCATGGAGGAACTACATAAATAACAGAATACCAGAGAGTAGAGAGAGAGATACCGGAGGACCAGAAATGGGTACCTCAGTGTGAAGAGAGAGGCAGAGGCAGTTTGAAAATGACAGCAAATAAAGTAAAGACCCAACCAAAACTGCCATACAGCCACTTCAGGAGGAAGCCAACAGTGAAAGAACGGGTGATGATGCTGAAAAAGGGAGTAGATAGGTACACAGAGAAGGATAAAGATTTTGTGAAGAACTCAACAAGATATTTCTGGAGTTCTTCTCAATAGAGCAAGGAGAAGTCCCTGAACTAAGAAGGGTGGCGATAAACCAAGCAGCCTTGCAAGATATTGAAATTACCAGAGATGAGGTTAGGAGGTATCTGCTAGTTTTAGACATGACTAAGCCTGTTGGACCTGATGAAATCTCCCCTTTGATGCTAAACGAGGGGCAGAAGCACTTCGCATGCCACTCTTTATTGTGTATAACAAGTCACTGAGAACAAGATACCTACCATAATGTTGGAAGACAGTTAACGTAGTCCCAATAAACAAAAAGAATGATAGGCAGCAGTCCATAAACTATAGACCGGTGTCCTTATTTCGTATACCATGCAAGCTGATGAAGAAGATTGTGAGGAAAAGGCAGGTAACACATCTGGAGAGAAGGTACTTTGTAACACACCACCAGCATGGGTTCAGGGATGGTAAATCACGTCTCACAGATTTAAATGAATTCTATGACCAAGCAACAATCATTAAGCAAGAAAGAGAAGGGTGAGCAGACTGCATTTTCTTGGACTGTCAGAAATCTTTTGACAAAGTTCCCCATGGGAGACTGTTGCATAAGTTAGAGAAACAGACTGGAAAAACTGGTAAGGTGTTCCAATGGATAAGGGAGTACCTAAAGAGCAGGAAGCTGAGAGTTACAGTGAGGGATGAAACCTCAGAATGGAGTGCTGGTCCTAGAGGAGCCCCACAGGCTTCTTTACTCGATCCTATCTTGTTTCTTATATATGTGAATGATCTTCCAGAAGGTATAGACTCATTCTTCTCAAAGTTTGATGATGATGCTTAAATTATGAGAAGGATTATGACAGAGGAGGACAGCAAGAGGCTACAAGATGACCTGGACTAACTGAAGGAAAGGTCCAACAAATGGCTACTAGAGTTTAACTCGAACAAGTGAAAAGTGATGAAAATAGAGGTTGGGAGCAAAAGGCCAAAAACAAAGTACTAGCTGAAAGAAGTATCCTTCAGGAATGAGGAAGAGATAAAGAAGATGTGGGGTTTATATCACACCAGATCTATCGCTTGAATCCCACATCAAAAGGGTAACATCAGCGGTATATGCAAGGCTGGCCAAACATAAGAACAGCTTTCAGAAACTTGTGTAAGAAATCATTCAGAACTAATTCAGAACCTTAAACTTGTGTAAGAAATAATTCAGAATCTTGTATACCTCATATGTCAGACCAATACTGGAGTATATCTAGTCAAACACAAATTAAGATAGAAAAGGTTTATAGGTATACCACCAGGCTGTCCCCGAGCTGAGGGGTATCATCTACGATGAAAGATTACTGGAACTAACCCTCACGAAACTCGAAGACAGAATAGTTACAGGAGATATGATCACAACCTATAACTTTCTAAGAGGAATCGACTGGATAAAGATACTATATTTTGCATAGGTGGTACGCGAACAAGTGGACACAGGTGGAAACTTAGTACTCAAATGAGCCACAGGGACGTTAGAAAGAGCTTTTTCAGTGTCAGAATAGTTAACAGATGGAATGCATTAGGCAGTTATGTGGTGGAGGCCGATTTTAAACACACTTTCAAATGTAGATGTGACAGAACCTAATTGGCTCAGGAATCTGTACTCCAGTTGATTAACACTTGAGAGGCGGGACCAAAGAGCCGAAGCTCAACCACTGCAAGCAGAACAAAGTGAGTACAACTAAGTAAGTACAGTGTAGTATACCCATTTTCCCCTAACACACAATGTATTACACCCAGATTCTCCAACATTTTATATTAGATTAATACTGCCAATAATTTGTTGCTACTCTCTTATATTAGTCCTTATATACTTATATGTTACCATTACGGTATAATATTGTTGGTATTAGCTTGGTGTTACTCTGTCTCACCTGGAGGAGGAGGCCATGCAGATGAGTCTGGGGAGGTGGGTAAAGATTGTGTAAGTGGCTGCTGGAGTTTCCCCCCTTCCAGGTGGTGAGACGTCGTACACCCACACCCCCGTACACCTTGCCCCCAAACAAAGCCCACTCACCAGGCGACCCTAACTGTGGAGGCAAAGAAGGGTCGGGGGGGTTGGGGGATTGGGAAGGAAAGTAAGAATTGCCAGCGTTATGTATTTATTAACATGTACGTATGCAACAAATATAGTTGTAGGATGTAGTGGGTGAAAGTCAGTACAGTAAACAACCGACAATTTAGCTAGAAAGGTGAGGTCAAGAGCTAATAGCTGGATCCTACAGGCACAAATGGTAAATACAAATAGTAAATGCATCCACCCACCTGGACGAGGGCCAGTACGTGCTCGGTGTTCCTGACCTTGGTTGACAACATGAGGTGATCCAGGTCGCTCTCCGAGGCCGCCAACACCACGTATCTGTAGTGAAGGTCAAACTGATGATGGTTTGTGACTAATGCTGGTCGACCAGTTTATTTGGGTAGTTCAGTTAGTCGTGGATGTGGCCTAAATGGTCGTACTCTTCATGTAGATTGTAATTTAGATAGTTTACCTGGTGTTGGTGGGTGGCGTATTTTGTGGTTAGTGAAGGTGGTGAAGAAGGTGCAAGTGGTTTAGGTAATCCTGTACCTTCCCTGGTAGTCCCAGGCGTCGAGGTGAATGTTGGTGAAATTGTCGAGGTGTTGGAGAAGGAGGAGATAGCCTCTACATCTTGACGACGACCACAACACCTGCTGCAGGTCATCTGGACGCCTCACCTCCCACACCTGTAACACAAACCTTAAAGGAAAGGCTTGTCCGATTTTAATAAAATAAAAATATTTTTGCCTCAACGGCGCCAAATATGCCTCTTCAAGGTGTCTGGTATCGAAAATGAAATTGCATAAACAGAAGAGCACTTTGTGCATTTATCAAAGTTCGGTGGAAAGAGGAATACTGTCTTTCTGAAGGTTAGTCCTCAGAACCAGAGGAGGTTGGTTGCATTAATATTACTAATAAATTATTATTATTATTATTATCAAAATAAGATCATTATTAGGAGCATGTGCAGAGCCAGTAAGACTATATGAGACTTGAAAGGGACATGAGAACAGAGTAGGAGCTGCCGTATTTGGACCATCTAGGATCAAACCCAGACTCTGCAAGAAGCGGGACCGTCACTGTTGCCACTAGTTTAAGTGGATGTACTATTATTACCAAGTGACAAAGTAATTTACATGAATTCCGCTCACCTGCAAGACAACAGGAAGATGGACAATGTGATGGAAGATGGAGTGATATTGATGCTCGTAGACCAACACAAGGTCACACTCCATCATCTCCTGCTCCACTATCTTCATCACCAGCTGTCCTAAGGACTCCAGAGTCTCCTCCACTACTGGACTATTGCCGCAGGGACCTCCAAGGCTCGTCCGGTATGTAACATGGTCGTCTTCTGATTTGATAATACCGCTCACAAAGATTCCAATGTGCAAGGCTGAGAGTCCTTTTGAAGTCTTATTTTGGAACATTATCCTTTTCTTAGAACTAGTAACAATGGGTTCATTTTGTGGCCCGATGGCTGAGACATTCTGAAGACCAAGTACTGAAACCTCGACTGGTTTCTGGGTGCTGGGAACAAAACGTTTACTCTCTTCCCGTGGTCGGACAGGCGGAGGCTGTGAGACCTCGTTGGGGACACCTTCATCAGGACGACCCCAGCTACCTCGGGTGCCCCAGCTGCCCTGGGAGTCAGCACTTCTCACCACAACCAATACAAACAACCACCAGCTCGCCTCCATCATTGTCTATCTGAAATACAATGCACAGTGGTATATTATATATAAATGCCTCGTATTTCGCTGACACAATATTGTTCTTATAAATTCAAAGTTTAGATCTTTAAAGCATAATTTGCGAGGTTAAAAATATCTATTAATATAGTTATATAAGTCAAATGAGCCACAAGTTTATTTTGAGCCTTTGAATTTGTTATATTATATCCTGACGAACAGTTAACAACGATGAAATAAAACAGAGAAAAGACTTCATAATATATGTGATGCAGGAATAAAGATTTTTCAGAATATAGCTCATCAACCTTATATCCTAAATACTAATACTTATATTACTTTGTGATATCCAGTCTTAAAATTTATGTTATTTCCAAAATAACTTACCTCCAGTGAGTAATTTTATAGTTATACATAACAGTTGCAGTGAAAGAGGTGTTATTTCATTCACTTGGACCATCAGATACTCGTTCTACCGACCTTACTACTAGAGCTCATAATAAGATTTTTCAAGATGTATTATATTATTATATGTAAATATAATTTTGACAGCGTAATTGAAAAAGCTTATGCTAAATATTCACCCTTCGTAATCCTTTTTGTGCTATAACTCTCTGAAGTATGAGGCGCACAATAAACTGGCTACCGCAAACAGGATGCAGTCTGTCCTTCTAAGGTTTCCTAACGTCAAAACTTTGTCGCATTAAAGTGCTCTCTCCTAACCTACCAGAGAACCCAAAACAGAAACGAGACAGTATGTCAACTTCTCGAGCCGCTACCATTTTCTAGGACGACGACATTTTGCCTTAGGTAGAGTATACGTCAAAATGCGACTCTGTATTAGGAGGAGGTGTTGCAGCATAAGTATTGCGTACCCAATACGCTTCCGCTCATTGGATAATTAAGTACGGGATGCATTATAAACTACTATTCCTTGGTTAATTAAGTATGGGGTGCACAATAAACTACCGCTCATTTGATAATTGAGTATTGGATGCACAATAAACTACAGTTCATTTGATAAGTATGGGGTGCACAATAAACTACTGTTCATTGGATAATTAAGTATTGAATGCCCAATAAACTACCGCTCGTTGGATAATTAAGTATTGGACGCACAATAAACTACCACTCATTGAATAATTAAGTATTGGATGCACAATAAACTACCGCTCATTGGATAATTAAGTACTGGGTGCACAATATACTATTGCTATTTAGATAATTAGGTATTAGGTGCACAATATAATATTACTCATTGGATAATTAAGTATTAGATGTTCAAAATACTACTGCTAACTGGGTAATTAAATATTAGGTGCACAATACTACTGCTCCTTGGATTTTCAAGTATGAAGTGTACAATAAACTAGCCACCTCTGACGGCAACACTCTAATCACCACTGAGCTCTTCTTAAGGTCTCATCCGTCGACTGTCTGGGTGATCACTGATGCTCTTCTTAAGGTGTCATCCGTCGCCTGTCTGGGTGATCACTGATGCTCTTCTTAAGGTCTCATCCGTCGACTGTCTGGGTGATCACTGATGCTCTTCTTAAGGTCTCATCCGTCGCCTGTCTGGGTGATCACTGATGCTCTTCTTAAGGTCTCATCCGTCGACTGTCTGGGTGATCACTGATGCTCTTCTTAAGGTCTCATCCGTCGACTGTCTGGGTGATCACTGATGCTCTTCTTAAGGTCTCATCCGTCGCCTGTCTGGGTGATCACTGATGCTCTTCTTAAGGTCTCATCCGTCGACTGTCTGGGTGATCACTGATGCTCTTCTTAAGGTCTCATCCGTCGACTGTCTGGGTGATCACTGATGCTCTTCTTAAGGTCTCATCCGTCGACTGTCTGGGTGATCACTGATGCTCTTCTTAAGGTCTCATCCGTCGACTGTCTGGGTGATCACTGATGCTCTTCTTAAGGTCTCATCCGTCGACTGTCTGGGTGATCACTGATGCTCTTCTTAAGGTCTCATCCGTCGACTGTCTGGGTGATCACTGATGCTCTTCTTAAGGTCTCATCCGTCGACTGTCTGGGTGATCACTGATGCTCTTCTTAAGGTCTCATCCGTCGACTGTCTGGGTGATCACTGATGCTCTTCCTCTGGCTCATCAACTTTTATCACTAGTCAAAGTTGCCAAGTTGGATTTTGTGTCGTTTGACATATATACTACATGCAAAATCATTTATAATGCCAGAACCACAATAGGACACTGGCATACACAGTCACGACATACCCTTATAATGAAATCATACACAAACAGTACGTACTAAACATATGAAAAATTTGAACACCAGAAATCCAAGATAAGGTAAACAACGCTAAGGGTTGTAAAAATATTTACTACAATCGTGACCAGGCCTTGTCACATATGGATGGTCAAGTATAATAATAAATGATAATAATAATAATATAATAATAATAATAATGATAATAATAATAATAATAATAATAATAATAATAATAATAATAATAATAATAATAATAATAATAATAATAATAATAATAATAATAATAATAATAATAATAATAATAATAATAATAATAATAATAATAATAATAATAATAATAATAATAATAATAATAATAATAATAATAATAATAATATAATAATAATAATAATAATAATAATAATAATAATAATAATAATATTAATGGATAAAATACCACACTTGTGTATATGTGAAATTCATATAAGGAATTTTCACCAAGTGTTTTGCACTTACATGAGTACTTTGTCAAGGCCTGAGTGTGTGATTAGAACGAGACTTACATCTCAACGTCTAATCTAGACGTTGAGATGACATTCGAGGAGGACTTCCCTGACATTCGAGGAGAACTTTAGATGCAGCAGATTGGAGGAACTGCAAGAGTACCTTACCTGAATTCTAAGGACCCAGCTAGTTGTTTATAGTAAAGTAGGCCTCGAGGAATAGAACAGAGAATCATATGGACACACTGATATTTATGTGAGAGTTTGACTGCGTTTCGACATTACAGGCGCAGTGTAAGGTATGAGATTGATATCTTTTTACAGAAGGAGATATATGAATATTTTTGTACCACGTTTTTCAGCCCAGAACAGAGAAGGGGGTGGCAGGTTGTAAGCTGAAGATTGAGCAGCAGCCCAATACGGTTAAAGGATGAAGACTTAAAGAAATATTGGAGTGTTATCAGTTGGTTGCAGGTTAGGTGGGTTGCATTGTAATATTATTCATCCTTCAAAATGGAGCATGCAGGGAGTCACGGCGGCTTGAGAGGAGTGTACTGATGTCAACGAGACAGTGTGAGTTGCACACTTGAGTAAAGGTGACGTTGAACCCCTCTCCAAGAACAAGACGCTTACCAGGGTAAGCGTCTAATACTAATTATACTAATAGTACCCAACTAATTGCAAGCACTCCAGTGTCCATTGCTGGTCGACTGACGGCAGCAGTAGTGTGGCTGTCGTGGTTGGTCATATTTTCTGTCAGGGAGTGGTTGGGGTCTCTGGTCAACGGTAAACTAGTATCAGGTTGGTTCAATAACCAGTTTCATTATAGAAAATCTCCCCCCCCCCCTCCTTCGATAGAATTGGCAGCCTGTCCGGAAATGAATTGACCCACACATATACTGTCCAGGAGAGTGAACTGACACACCCATAACAGCTGTAGGTAGCACATAACCGCAGAAAGATTATCTCTCTCTCTCTCTCGGGAAGACTCAGGAACAAGATGAATATGGTGCAAATACTTGTAGAGTCAGGCAACCTGAAAATTTAGAAGGGTGCACTAAAGAGAAGTTAATGCAAATTGCAGAGAAATATGGTGTCAAGGTGAAGTCATCCAAAGTGGCCGGAATGAAGGAGGAGATCCTTGGGCAGTTGAGAGAGAGGAATGAAGTGGCAGAACAAGGAGCCGAGTAAGGAGCTGAAGGTGGAAAGGAGGATGATGGACAGGATGAAGTGAGGTCAAAAGAATCAAGTAGGAGTAGCTGCCGTAGCAGACGAAGCCAGAACAGGAACTTGGAAAGGTTCCAGCTAGAACTCCAGATGCAAGGTGAACGTGAGGAAAAAGAGAGGCAGTTCCAACTGGAGAAGTTGAAGCAAAACCTGCAGATGAAAAATGAAGAAGAAAAAAAGAAACCTAAACAAGAAGTTGAAAAAGAAAATGAGAAAACCAGAATACGAGAATTGGAGTTGGGACAAGGGAAAGAAAAAGAGAAAGCCAGAATACGGGAACTGGAGTTAGAACAAGAGAAGAAAAAAGATAAAATCAAAGTGGAGTGAGAAAGAGAGAAAACAAAACAAATGGAGATAGAAGCAAATAGAGATTTGGCAGAGCATAGGATTGAGCGTGGGTTGCCTGAGAGCACCACACAGGTGTCACATCCACCAGATAATAGAGTAAGGGAAAAAGACATTCCATTGTTTGTGCCAGAGAAGTCCGAGAGCTTCTTTGAGCACTTGGGAAGGTACCCAACATCAAACAGTGGCCACAGTAAGAGTGGGCTTAATTGGTAGACTTACAACTGATCTTTGCTGCCAGAGGGACATATACACAGTTGTCTTTGGAGGAATGCCAGAACTACTGGAGTGTGAAGAACAGCATATTGCGTTAGTTTCAGTTAACCCATGAAGCATATAGAAAGCGCTTCCGAGAAATGACTAAGGCCCCTGCCAGTACGTTCGCCGAGACATTGAGGGACCTGGAAAGGCGTTTCCAGAGATGGATAGAAGCTGTGCGTGAATAATCGTATAATGGTTTGAAACAGTTGATGGTAATGGAGAAATTCCTAGAAATAATGTCCCCTGAGACGAATTTTAAGATTCAAGAAGCTGGAGTGAAGAATGGGAGAGATGCAGCAGATATGATTACGGAAGCCTATTGGAGCTTGAGTGAAAGCAGAGTGAAGAGCGATGTGAGACACGAAATTATGGCAGACCTACTGGAGTGTGGCGTGAGAAAAATTCTGGGAGGCAGGTAAATCAGCAGTCTAGACCTAAACCCAGTGAAAAAAAGTTGTTGAT